GGGAGAAAATCCATCTGGTTCAGTTTCAAGATGGGAGAAAGACACTGGAAATGTGGAGGCTGATTGGAAACATGGTTTAATAATGAAGCAGAACCACATGGCTTCTGGGCAACTGACCACATGGGGTTGAGAGTGGGGGGTATTTATACCTTCTCTTAGACTTTGCACTTAATCTTTTTGTTCCTGTATAAGAACATGTATTCTATTGGATGTTGTCAGACTCCCAGGGGACCATGTACAAATGAGCTAAGTTTGGTTGAAGTTTGCTGGGGATGATGCAACTGAGAAGATGCAACGAAGGAGCTTGTGTTTTGAAAGGATGTTGAGCAATTCCTATTATGGCTGAGGGCTAATCCTACCTTTGTTGGAGCTTGGGTGAGTGTATTTGCTTATGAATAGAGCTAGCTATCTCTTTATCTCCTAAGTGCTGATATCTGTTAACTGCTATTAAGAAAGGTGGGGGCTGCTTACCAAGAGCATGTTTCTCTTTTCTTATCCAGGGAAATATAATATTCTTCCTTTTTAATATTTCCTAAAATATTTTATTCTTCTAGGAGAGGGGTAGGTGCTAACTTTCTACACTGGGTTCTAAAAGTAGTTTTGGTTTAACTACTAGACTTTTAGTTATGGTGCCTTAGGAGGTTCCTGCTTTCCATATTCATGCTGAAATACTAACAGTGGAGGCAAAACTTGGTTTAAATAGCTACAAAGGGATATGACCATTCTTAAATCTCCCAAGCACTGGGATAGTATAAGATTGAGCTAAGTTTTTTTTTTAAGGAGGATTCAAATTATTTAGTTGGCTGATAGTAAGTATCCTAATAAGCCATACACATTTTTATTTATTTTACCTGAAATTTCAAATAACTTGTTATTTTATGTAAATGTTTCTACAATATATTTAAAGACAAATAGGATTATCATCATAGTATGGAAGAAGATGTTACATTGGATATACAAATTAAACCAACTGATGTCTTAATAATTGAAAGAGGTATACAAAAATAAACCAGAAGAATGACTTTAATTTTTTATTTTGAATTTACAAAAGTGACATGTTAAAGTTTTCAATGAGAAAAGACAAAGGTGAAATTAAAAGAATTTAACTTTTTAAAGGGATTAAAAATTAAGATTATTTATTTATTTATTTATTTTTATTATTTATTTCCTGGTAACTGTAGTAATTCTCTATAAAGTCATTTCTTTATTATCTTTTTTACTGTACATATATATGAACGGTAAAAAAGTGGAGAGAAACAAAAATTAAATTTGTATCCTTTTATATTTTATATTTATATTTTTATATTTTTCTTAGTTTATATTAGACTTTTATTTTTGTAACTCTAATGTTTAATAAAATAATTACATACACACACAAGAAATCCCACATTGAATAATTATAGTTTCAAAAGGAAATAAAGCTGTACACATGCAGACCTACAATTCTTGATTAGAAACTACTGGTGTCTTTATTTTTACTTTTTAGCACAGAAAAAAATAGATGAAAATGCATATGTTGCTTTATAATGGTATAGTGTGAACACTGAAAAAAATGGCAACTGAAAATTGACTAAATTGCATAAAGTTAAGCATGGTGTAGACAAAGACAAATTTATCCTCTTTTCTCAAAACTCTAGTATCAGAGGTTATACAGTTAAACTAACTGGAAGGAGATTTAGACTAGGGAAAACTAGGAATGTTTTCACATAGAAACAATTAACTTGGGCAGCTGGTTTTCATAAGACATAAGTCTTATGAACGTCTTTCATAAGTCTTTCATAAGACATTGAATTTGCTGGCTTTAAAAGATTAGATAGATTTATAAAGCATAGATCTGTTAGACTTGAGGTCTCCTTATTGCTTCCAAATATCAATTGCAGGGGGCCACCTCACATTTGGACTTTTCCAATACAATCTGCATGGAGATGCCCTTGAAGATTACTCAGAAGTATTAGATCATCCACAATGCAGTTGCTCAGGCAGTTACAGGCACCATAAACTTTACCCATGTAGGTCTCATTTGAGAGCTGAACTGATTGCCAGTATATTTTAACCTTTGTTGTGTAACATTTCTTTCCCTAACTAATAAGAATTTTTATTTGTTATTTTATTTTATTTGGTTTGTCAATTGCTTACAAGATAATAGGTATAAGTAAAAACATAGTTATGAATACATGGATACATATAAGAAAAATAAAAGAAACAATAGGACAGAGACGGTAGGCAAGTTGGTGCGCTTATGCATGTCCCCTACAGACCTCTTAGGAAAGGGGTGAGGTCAATAGTAGAAAGTCTAAAGTTAAAGTTTTTGGGGTTTGGGGAAGAAACCACAGAGTCGGGTAGAGTATTCCATACATTGACCACTTTGTTGCTGAAGTTGTATTTCCTGCAATCAAGTTTGGTGCGATTAACCTTGAGTTTGTATCTATTGTGTGCTCTTGTGTTGTTATGGTTGAATCTGAAGTATTCATTGACAGGTAGGATGTTGCAATGTATGATTTTATATACTATACTTAATCGGACCGAAGGCAGTGTAGTTCTAGTTTTCTAGGTCTAGAATTTCAAGTCTGGTGGCATAAGGTATTCTGCAACAAGTAGAGGAGTGCAGAACTCTTCTTGTGAAATATTTCTGGACTTTCTCAACTGTGTTACTATCAGATACCTAATGTGGGTTCCAGACTGATGAGCTGTATTTGAGTATTTGTCTAGCAAATTTTTTGTATGCTCTAGTTATTAGTGTAATATTACCAGAGAAAAAGCTACATAAGATTAGGTTAACAACTCTTAATGCCTTTTTGGCTATGTAGTTACAGTGGGCTCTAGCACTTAGATCATTAGAGATGAGTACTCCAAGGTCTTTGACAGAGTTTGGATCATCAACAAGGTCTTGATTATTCAGCCTGTATTTTACAGTATTTTCTGATTTTTTTTTTCCAATATGTAAGACAGAGCATTTGTTCGTTGAGATTTGAAGTTGGCATTTGTTTGACCATTCTGATACATAGTCAAGGTATTTTTGAAGGGCAGAAGTATTGTCTGTGGTGTTGAATAGTTTTACATCATCAACAAAGAGGACACAGTTGCTCTTAATATGATCACAGATGTCATTTATGTAGAGTATGAAGAGAGTTGGTCCTAGAACACTGCCTTGGGGGACACCAGTGTTGACAGGTACAGAATTTGATTGGACGCTCCCAATTTTGACCATTTGTTGTCTGTTTGACAGGAATGCTTCTATCCAGTTATGCAGGTGTCCATAAGAGATACCATAAGATTTTAGTTTTAGGAGTAGTTTGTCGTGTACCACTGAATCAAAGGCTTTACAGAAGTCTATATAGATTGTGTATATTGCTTTGCCCTGATCGAGTTGTGTAGTCCATATGTTTTTGCAGTGTAAGAGTTGTGGATTACAGGATAGTTTTTTTCTGAAACCAAATTGTTTATTAGAGAGTAGGTTGTTTGTTTCTAAGTGGAGAATAATGGATTGGTTAATAATTGATTCCATGAGTTTACAGGTGACACAGCATAAAAAGATTGGTCTGTAATTTTCAACTAGTCTAGGGTCTCCCTTTATGAATGACCATGGCTTGTGACCATAGTTTTGGCAAGGAGCTGGTCCTGAAAGATTTTTCAAAAATTATGCTTAGAGATTCAGCTATGGCAGTGGATAGCTTTTTTAAGAAGTAGGCACATATTCCATCTGGTCCAATAGATAGAGATGGTTTTAGATTGTGTAGTGCTTTTTCAACATTGTCTTCTGTAAAATCAATATGTATTAGATCATTGTAGCTGTCTGTGTTTCGACTAGGAAATACTGGGCATGATCCATTGCTGTTTACAAATACTGAGCCAAAGAATGTGTTAAAGAGGTTGGCTTTAATAGTATCATCATTGCAGTCTTTACCATTAGGTCCTTTCAGGGGTGGGATGGACCTTGAGTCTTTTAGTTTGTTGTTTACAAAATTGTAGAAAGTGCAGGTGGAATTGGTGCATAGAAGGTTTTCCTCTTGTTTACTGTAAAAAATGGTGCATTCAGTCTTTATCTGGTGGCATAAATTTTTGTATTGGCTTTTGAAGTTGGCAATGTGACCAGATTTGTTTTTCTTGTGATGTCTTTTTGGATTGAAGCTTCCTTATTGTTATGGGTAATCTGTTTTTTCTGGTTTTTGGAGTTGTTATTGGTACATATAGTTTGATGACTCTTTTGACTTCAAGTAAAAATATGTTGTAATGGTCTTCAACAGTATTGCATCCAGTGAATAGAAATTGCCAATCAAGGGATGAGAGATCATTGTCTATAAGATCATAGTTACCTTTTTTGAAGTTATAATTGGGGATCATATTGTTATGTTGATTTTTGTGTGGATGTATGTTGAGACAAAAGTCAATCATGCTGTGGTCACTGTTAGAAAAGGAAAATTGAGGAAACTGTTCTTTAAACAGGCAGCTGCTGTAAGACATGACCTGTACCTAACAGCTGCAGGCTTCTTCATTCTCTACCCACTAGGTAGAAAAGACCAGGAAATTATAATATTTAATAAATGTAATATAGAAAGCCTGCCATAAGCCCTGATATGTACCTCTTCCATGTGATTTAGGAATTGAAACGTTTGGTTATTGGTACCAAAGTTAAGGGAAGGTTATAACAGCAGTGTAGGGGATGGGTAATGTAATGAAAATGAAACAGAATAACAGAGTCGGAAGGGATCTTGGAGGTCTTCTAGTCCAATCCCCTGCTCAAGTAGGAGCCCTTATACCATTTCAGACAAATGGTTGTCCAATCTCTTCCTAAAAATCTCCCAGAATGGGAAATCCCAACTTCTGAAGGCAAGCCATTCCACCGGTTAATTGTTCTTGCTGTTTGGAAATTCTCGTCAATTCTAGGTTGATTCTATCCTTGACTGATTTCCATTCATTGCTTTTTGTCCTGCCTTCAAGGTGCTTTGGAAGGTAGGTTGACCTGCCCCCCCTCCTTTCTGGCAGCCCCTTAGATATTAAACCTTGAAGAAGTAATGCAAGAACATTTAAACATCTATTTTCACCTTTCAAAGAAGGGGGGAAGAGAAGGAAACTCAAAATTGACCCACTTTCTGTTTAGCATAAAAGAAGACAGAAGGAAACTCTGATCTGATTTCAAGATTCATAAAACTAGAGCCACAGTTATATCTGATATCACTAAAACAGAGCTACAGTAGTCTTTGTGATGTTTGTTTTCTAATCTGGTCTGGTCTACCTCTAATATCTGATAAGGTGAGATTAAACTTTCTGGTCCCAATACAAATATATTCAACCTCCATTGTATATGGATATGGGTCTTTGTGAATTCCTTGTTGAAGGAGATAAAATGATTATTTATTTCTAGCCTACTCAAGAAACATACTGGGAAGGATTATAAAGATAATATCAAATTGAAGAAGTCTAGAATGATGAAGTCAGATAAAATAAATAAAAGAGATATGTAATCACAGTCATGGATCAGTGAAAGGAGACAATAGAAGGTTTCAGAAAGCGGCTTGCTCTATCTTTAAGTATAACTGGAAAAGTCAGGATCAAAGAAAAACTTCAGTTGACCTCCCAGCATTATAAACCAACAAACTGGTGATGAAAATATCTGGACAATTCCACTGAAATTTATTTTGGCTCCTTTTTATTATCTTCTGTGTTTGAGCCAATTTTATTTTTTTTAGCTCACTAGTATTACATTCATTTCTATGAGAACAAGATTCTTAAAAGCTGGTGTATGATAGCAATAAGAAGCACACTAAGCTGTTTTAGAAGCCAGTAATCTGGTACTCTTATTGAAATGCTCTAAGCAGTCATCAGCCTTACAGCTTATCCACCTGGGAACCAAATTATTGCCTCATAAAACAGCTCGGCACTTCTATTGCGGTTTAAACATAATTGTATTTAAAGACCTTGTTAGTTTCATTTAGGAAAAATTAGTTTTTATCTTATTAAATAAAAAGGAGCTCCTAATAAATTTAATGATTTTGTATAAATTAATGTGATCTTGAGAACTTCACATATAAATTATCCACAAGTATGGAAGAAGAAATTTTACTACGAATTGTCTTTCAAACTTATTTCTCCAATGTGATTGTGATTTCACCATGCTCAGAATATGAACTTAAGGATATTAGGTTTCATCTGGATGTACCATTTTATTTATTCATTTATTCCATTTGTATGACTGGCCATCTCAGCAAGTGGCTCTTAATGTCAAATAATCTTAAAGTAAATTTAATACAAATTCTTATCAGAGATATAAAAATTAAAACATACATTAGAAAAAGAGAAATATCATTATTAATGGTTGACATAACCAGAAAATGGGACCTTTTGCACCCTTGTGCTCTTTGACATCAACATATATACATACACATTAACAGTTGGATGACCCCTTATGGGTCATCTAGTCCAACCTCCTGCCCAAGCAGGAGACCCTATACCTTTCTGACATATGGCAGTCCAGTCTCTTTTTGAAAGCTTCCAGTGATGAAACTCCCACAACTACTGAAGGCAAGCTGTTTCTTTGGTTGATTGCTCTCCTATCAGAACATTTCTCCTTATTTCCAGGTTGAGTCTCTCCTTGTTTGGTTTCCATCCATTATTTCTTGTCTGGTTTTCATAGAACCAAGCTTTCAGTGCCTTGTGAAAGGCCATCAGGGTTGGAACCATTCTAATCTACATATCAGATATTATTACTGTCAAGAAAGTCCAGAAATATTTCATAAGAAAAGTTCTCCACTCCTCTACTCATAGCAGAATACCTTATACCATCAGACTTAAAATTTTAGACCTAGGCAACCTAGAACTATGCTGCCTTCCGTCCGACCTAAGTGTAGTACATAAAATTATCTATTGCAATGTCCTACCCATCAATGAACACTTCAGCTTCAACCACAACAATATAAGAGCACATAATAGATACAAACTCAAGGTAAATTGCACCAAACTCTACCTGACTCTGTGTTTTTTTTTCCCTAACCTCAAAAACTTTAACCTTAGACTATCTACTATTGACCTCACCCCTTTCCCAAGAGGTCTGTAGGGGGCGTGCATAAGCAGACCAACGTACCTACTATCCCTGTCCTAATGTGTTTTTTTTATTTGTATCCATTTCAGGTATTCATAACCATGTTTGTACTTATACCTGTTATCTAATATTTGCTTGACAAATAAATAAATAATCTCTTAAGGAACAATGTTCCATAAGACAGATGCTATGGGGAAAAAGGCAGGCCCCTGGAGTCCTGCCAGCTGCCATTGAACCATTCTACTGGATCAGACAGATAGAAACAACAAATAAAAATGTGGTCCCTCATGTAAACGTATGCTTGAAAATTTCTCTTTTTACTCATATGGAATTTTTCCTTTACCAAAGATAAAAGAGAGTAGCCTTTTATATTTGTTTTTTTGTCCAAAATGGCAAGGGATGAACAAATACATAAATTTTCCATCTTCCCTCCATACTATCCTCAAAACATTGAAAGCCAGTTTGGTTTGGTGGTGAAGATAGTGGCCCAGAAACCAGGTGACTATGAGTTCTAGTCCTGGCTTTATCATAAAGCTGGCTGGGTGACTTGGAACCAGTCACTCTTCTCAGCCCAACCCACCTCACAGAGTTTTCATTGTGGGGAAATAGGAGCAGGAAGGAGCACAATGAATGATTGCCACATTGAGCTACTTATAAAATAATAAAGATGAAATAAATCTAACAAATAAGGTAGTTAAGTAGACTAGGCTGAGCAAAAGAGATTGAGAGTCAGAGTCTCTCAAGCCAGAGTCAGGCAATAAAATAACAGAATTTAGATCTAGGTCCCCAAATCATTCCGCTGGCTAGATTATTTTTACAAATCATTCCTAAATGTAGGAATAGTCTGGTAGGACACAGGTACTACTGAATGGTGACTGGGGGTGGTGGTAAAATGCTTATTTTGATGCTATTCTGTATGTTGTATTTGACTTCGTGGGACTAAAACTGCATTGGTAAATTCATCTGTTCTGTCCCAGCTAACTGTGCCTGAATCTAGACATGATTAAACCCATTTGTTTTTATAAATATTTAACTTACAATCCTAATAATCATAGTAAAAGTTAGAAGACACATTGGACAGTGATGCAATAACTTGTCATAACTCCCCCATTTCCCTCTTGTTGCTTTTCCAATTTCTGCTAATAATGGGCTAAAATCTCATATCTTTTATTTTTTCTAAACGTTTCATATCATGATTTGAGAATAACCTTCACAAAACTTAATGAGACTTATTTCTGAGCAATCATTGATGGGTTTGAATAGCAGGGCTTTCATCTTAAGGTCACCTGGGACTAGAACACTAGTGGGCCTATTTGTGAATATACATGTTCCATAAATGACTGCTGAATTTCAGTGACAAATGAGAAAGCCATACCAAATTCTCAGTTACAGTGTAGTTGCCTAGTCCTATTATAGACAGAATGAATGATTGATGGTTCTGTATAACTTAGAAGTGTGATTTTCATGCTTATTGCTTATTCCAAATGTATATTTGCATGATACCTAGATGACAGATAGATGGATAGGTTTTCTCTTTAGAGGCATACCAATACCATTTTTAAAAGTAAAATTGCATGATATATTGATCTCTTAGGGATACAATCATAATAAATCTTCAGGGATATTCCTCCCACCCCACATACTTCTGTATCTCTAAGAGGCCATAATTACTAGTTTTTTATATGGTTACGATTTTGTGGGTATTAAAATCGTAAGTGGCAAAAATGTAAGAAGAAATCCATTTTAAAAATAATTTTCTGCAGAATTGAGATTCTGTTTGATACGCTTGTGCGATGCTGAAGTGCTCTTTGGGGAGCAACATTTTTCTTTTGATGAAAAAAATATAATTATATGATTTTATCAATTCCTGCCTGAAGTGAAGAATAATATACTTTTTTTCTCAGCTTTTATACTGACCTGCCCACACACATATATAATAGTTTTAGATATAAATTGGATTCTTACCTTTTGTTGTTTTATGATTGTAAGCTGCTTATGACTCTAATATGGAACTTGGCAGACATTATTATTATTATTATTTATTTGTATCCTGATTTTATTATTTTAAAATTAACTCAAGGCAGCAAACATAACTAATGCACTTTTCTCTCCCAACATGACTACTTCTAAATGACTTTCATTTTTAAGCTTGATATTAGTAATCTTTTGATCAATTCTGATGGACTGTATATGTAAATCTTCTATGTTTCCTTTATACTTTTCAAAGCATAATCTCAGCCCGATCAAATCTCATTCAGGATAATGATATACAGTATTAGTAATCTATTAAAAGCTTGACAAATGTCAAAAGCTTGACAAATGTAAAAGCCAAGCTGTGTAAGAACCCAGCTGGCTTCGTGCTTAAATTAGGACTAGAACTCACAGGTTGTAGTCTGGTACCTTCAACCCCTACTTCAGACTGTCTCTATAGAACTTTATGAATGTAATTGTTCCATGAGAATTTAATATGCTCTGCCAGAATTTCAATTCCCATTTGGCATTCCTTTTGAAGGTTTCTAAAGTGGGTTGCATGGACTTTAGAAAATTATGAAAGCCATATCTGTTGTAAAGTCACAGTTGAATTATTCATTCAGTAATATTTATGGGCAAGTGGACACTATTATAATCCTTCAGAAGGTATTTTGTAGTGCTTTGGAGCATGTATCAGGCACCTCTCTCTGAATCATTGAAGCAGCTGCATTTTTAGAGTTACATAGCTGCTGCCAACTGTTCCTCCATAAATATGCTTAGACAGCCATCTGACCCAGTAAAGCACAGTGGTTGTGCATGCACTCTTGTAAATATGGCCAGGTGTATCTTATAAAGAACCTGTATTGCTTTAATGATTCAATGGGTATTTTGTACATATTCCTCGTGTGTTGCAAAGCATTTATTTTAAAGGGTTTGCACAAATCTAATTGTTACTGAATTATTGTTCCTTGTTCTTTTGACTTCAACTTTCTTTTGATGCTTTCTTTTAATTTGG